TTTTACAATCCATTATACTCTTCAGGAAGTTTCTGTCAACACAACTTGTATTTCTGCTTAGTGGTTTTCACCTTGGCCATCACCTGAAACAGTTATAATATACTTTATTTCTATTAGATAAAACTCTGAGACTTGTTGACAGCTCTTTAATTTCTTGAATTGTTAAAGAAAACAGAATGGATCCAAATCCAAACAGTTAAATTCCAAAAAGATGACAATCATAATGTCATCCTGACAGCTAATATTACATAGAACTTAAAAAGCCCCAAAAGAAACAGAACTCCCAGAAAAGCAACCAAAACCACAGATACAGTCTGTTCCTCACATCACAAAAGCCAGATAACATAAAGCATAAATCCATACTAAGATCTCTGTTAACAGTTGCTTGGCCACTGTTCTTGCACTTCAGGGTTTTTTAAAAATCTGATTTCACTCAGAAGTCAAGAGTTAGATTGGCAGTATGCAATTAAGTATCACCAGCCTCATCAACAACAATAAGATGAGCTCAATATTGTAATTTCATGAAAATTCTGTGTTTAACTGTCATTCATATTAGGAAGAAATTCAGCTCTAAGAACCTGGGGAAACAATCAGTAAATCCACATACACACAAATGCAAAGTACAATATTATATAATCTGGCTAAATGGGCAAAAAAACCCAGCCTACTTTTCCCAAGTAAATTCGTCTGCTACACTGTTTTTAACACATACTTAATTCAGAAGAACAGGAAGATTTGTGGAGGGCTAAATGATCAGATGAGTTTGTATTTTCACTATGTTCCTCCTGAAAACCATGCAGTATTTCTGTCAAACTTTATCACTCCTGCAGCTGTTTATGGAAAAGATGTAGGGAATAGGTTCAATGATATCCAACAGGCAATGGTTAAATGGCTGAAAACAAGCTAAACTTAATTTTTTGACATTCAAAAATTTGAGTTACTTTCCAATCTTAGTCATCTTCACAAGTTTCCTCTGGTGGCTTGATGGTATCTAACTGGAAAATGGCTAAGATGTAATCAAATTAGTCGGTGGCAAGCAGGTGAGTGAAGCTTCAAAAGGAGCAGAATTTCACAAGCCACCATGAAAATATTTTTATATGCTTGTTCTCTTGGGGACCTACACATGTGTCTTGTTTTAAGATAATCTGCCTGAACCGCTAAAGATTCGCATAAAAGAATAACAAGTCTTTAAGACTACTAAGAAAGTAAAGTTAGAAAGCCATGAGACATTTTACTTGATAACTCATCCTGGATAACCGAGTCAGCTACTGACTCAGGCAGAAAATACAGAGGAAACAGTAAAGTTAATCAGAAGGTGTTGAAGCACATGAAACAACAAACAGGCATCCAGAGTGTGCAGTAGAGAAGACTGAAAGGAGTCAGAATGGAAAAGCAAGAATATCAGCTTGCTATTTTAATGCCTTCAACTCAATGAAAACAGTATAATTTTTCTGGTTCTACTGTTAACCTGGTCTCTACTTCAGTGAAATCACACAACATACAAGATCTCTGCCCAGTATATAACTCAGTATCAGGCATAAAAGCCAGATATTTAAATAGTAAAAAACATTTCTTTGAATTTGTAGCTACTGAAGTTACATGCAGGTCGTTTTTCTTTCCTTTCTCCATGCCATCAGACTGTTAGATTTAGCACAGGGATACAGGGGATATTGTGTATTGAAGGTCTAACTCAAAAAGCTTACAGATTCCAAAAAGCCTACTCAACTTTAAGGGAACTCTCATGTTCTTCCCAGGGATCAAAGGCAGATGTGGGCAGCTTTCACGTGAATAACTTGTCTATTAGGTCTTGTGGAATTGTAAATATCCATGCACCCCAAATGAGAAATAATGCAGGTTACTATCCACTTAAAAACAACAGTGGAGACGTCTAATCACACCATGTTGATAGGTTTTAAGCACTCAGTTAAGGCCAATTAGTTTAATTGTAAGCACAATTTCAGATCAGCTATGAAGTAAAACATACCTGGAGAAAAACTTACAAAATAACTGATAACTCAACCTCCAAAACCAGACTACTTTAAATTTTAGGTCAAATATTTTGACTAAGAAATCATTCCTGCTGCTTTCTACAGATTTCTGAGCATCCCCTTGTTGCAGTAGCACATTGTTTTTCAATAATGTTCTAAAACTATGCCATGAGTTCAAGCTACTGTGCTCACCAGGCATGCTTAGTGAAAGACTAAGGCAGAATCACAAACACTGCTGGGAGCTTCAGATTTCACGCTTATTAAACATTAGCTTGCATTTACAAACTATATGAGATTATCAACACAACACTATACTACTACACATGATTTCCTGAAGAAATCCAACAGCATTTCTTTTGACCATTTAATGTGCTGGGCACCAAGACCCTCTCGCCTCCCAGGAATAAGATGCAGGGGCGCCTAAAGCTGCCTCACTGCCACTGCGCTTTACACCCCTTGCAGTGTAAAACAGGAGACACCCTCTGGTCCTGCAGAAATAGCACATTTGTTTTTTTCTAGCCAAAAGACTCCATGTTGAGCTGTTGTATCAGAATTACTGCTGGATGCTGAGCAATCCTGACCTCATTCAAGCAAGAGCAGCAGCAAGTACAAAGTGCCAAGGACAGGATCTTCTGCCTCACCTCATGAAAGTACAAAAAGCTGAATGTCACTGGGATTTCACTTTTACCTGGCACAATGGACACATGCTAAACATGGTGCGCTAAAATCAAGCCTTCCTAAGCATGTAAGAGTTGAGGTCTGTTCAGTCCATGAACTAATTTGTCTGCTTCTTTCACCTGATTTTTCTTCAGCTCTTTAGGAGGGTACCATCTTTGCGTATCACCTTTATCTGAGTCTCTCTAGATCCGCTGTCATCTCTGAAACACTTCTTTTTTCAGCTGCTAAATGTTGATACTACATCCTTTGCCAAAATAGTTATTCAAATGGCAAATATTTCATACGCCTTCTTACTTTACTGAAGAATAATAATGTAATTCAAAGTTACCATAAATTCCTCTTGAAAAACCTCACATCATATTTGAATCTTAACAATAACATACAAGTGAATTCTTGTTTTGCACTCAACTTGCCAAGGACTCTTCAGGAAAAATGTTACTATTACATTTCTTGCAAAATTAAGACAGGCCTTTAAAAAACAGACTCCGCTGAGGTTAGGAAGGCTAGGAGCTCCTCTCCTTCTTCCAAGTTGTTAAGAATTTATAAAAAAAACTCAGGGGGCTACCAGCTGTGAAGGCAAGGAATTTATCTTTCCCAAGATAAACAATTTTGTTACACAAGAACTTAAGACTGCTTTCCCCCCTCATCCATGGAAGTAATTAATACATCTTTATTTGCACCTCTTTTCCCCCTCATCTCCCAAGAAGACTAATGATTAAAGTCTGTGTATTAAAGCCACATATGTATAACAAGTTAAGAATGGAATTTCAGCAAAGAACATTGACTCAGTTGCAGTTAAAGTAGCAGAGTGGTATCACTACAATGATCACACCGTGCTTATCACAAAAATACCATTTTTCTCCTAAAGATGAGATACACAATTGCTACGCACAAAGTTTTCAGGAATGCTTCATTAGCTCAGTGAAACGTTTTGGATCGCTACACCTCTTGCAACGCATCACAGATTAGTTTCTCTGATATGCATGAAGCATGTCCTGAAACACTGAGACAAACTAGATTTCTCTGTGCCAGTTCCAACAACGTGGTACTGCTAAAAACATGCCTAAAATATGCACTGACATTTGCAATAAGGTCTTGGGTTTTTTAAATAAGAGCTATTTCTTAAACTACAATTAACTATTTGCTTTTCATAATTTGATTAAATGAGACATTAAGCTTAATTTTAGTCTTCTACCACCTAATGTCTCATTGACTCCCATGCATCACAAAACGTAATTCCAAAACGCTAACCCATTTTTCAATACTAATATTTAACTGTAAGAAGCACACATGCCAGTATATAGCTTTTTGCTACTTTATTCCAACCAGAAGTTGCATATTCTTTTCATTTCTTTAGTACTCATTTTTATGAAATCCAAAATATCAAGTGTTGCACATCCTAGGAAAATGATACAATAACTGTAGTTGAGAAGTCACACAGGTGGCATATATGCATGGAGAGAATCATGGCTGCACACTTAAAACCATTAGGTACACAATTTCTTTTCTCTCAATCTGTGCCGCTGGGTTTTTTTTGTTTGTTTTAGAAAGCATTGAGCACTTTCAGAACATAGAAATTAAGGAAAGCTAGCTAATAGAGCTTTGGATACTGTAATATTTAATGTCCCCATTCAAAACTGTAAATCATTAGGAGCTGCAGTTCGTAACTTTCCACTTGAGAATCTGCTTCTCTTTCTAAGCTGACATGAAGAATTTGTTACAGAATCCATAGCGGGAAACAAATTGCTAAATTCACCATTTAATGACTGCAAATGGTTTTAACCAGTCAGTTCAACCATGTTCAAAGCAAAACCCTGATGTTAAGATTACTTACAAGAGTGCTATTACTAATACAAAAAAATTTCTCCTATAACTAGATCTGCATTGGCATTTTACAGTGCCAACACATTTGCATTGCTACTGTAGGAACAGAAAAAGTTGATATATCCAGTTCATGGTAACAGTTGCAACTATTCTAGATGACCAATGTACAATATTCAAAAGTTAACACCACACCTAGAGTTGATTAATGTTTTTTTCAGTCTGCACTAAGGCAGTTACTACAATCATTTTCTTCCAAGAAAATGAGATTAAGCATACCTCTAATAAATTAGAATCAGCATAATAAAGTTAGAATAACAACTGTTACTATACTGTAGAATACAAGAAAGTAAGCTAAAACTATACAGTACGTAAAATACTGTTAACCTATACTTTGTTAGAGGTGTTCAAGAACTGATGCAGTGGACTATACTATGCATAAGCTCTAATAAAATTGTCCCCAGCCTATGAGTTTTCAAACCATATATATTCTCAGAGTGGCTACATACTCACCTTTCACCACTCCCAGGAGAGGGGGCGAGCTCTCTGGAGGCGTTCTGTCAGGTTCCTGGGGAGGTACAACCATAGCAAGTGTATGCACCGGTACACGTGGAACCTTAAAACAAATCCACGGACACACACTCAGATAAAAACCCCTTTTGAATGGACGCGATCATTAAGTGTTAATACAAAGATGCCTTCCAAACTGTGTACGCTACGCTACCACTTGGTATGACCTATCCCATGCTCTTTTATTGTCAATAGTATGTCAAAGTTCACGGTGTTACTCTTTAGAAAATCCCAGGCTATGTAGGCTGGAAAACTGTTAACATCCTTAGGCTTTTAATCAGCTAACTCCACTGGAAAGTTACCTCTCCAGCCTGTAGAATTCACAATGTATTTTCTTTCATATAACAACCAAAATCAGCAACAATGATTGAAGAGTGTTGTCACAAGGGTTTAGAACTGTTAAAACAAAGTACTGAGCAAACACAACCAAGAAAGTAATATTCTTCTGAGATACTAGGTTTGGGACTATCCTATCTAAGTAGCAGAAAAGAGAACAAAGTTCACACAACCTTCAGTATACTGAAGGCAATGCCAATCAATTTTCTTACTCTCTCTCATTTTCAAGTGTGTTGTCTTTTTAAAAATTCTTTCCAATTTAGAAACTTCTATATCTAAATTAATTTCAGAAGTTAACTACTAAGGAAATGCTTCTTTGCAAAGTTCATGGCAATATTTTTAAAAAATTCCTTATGCTTTACCTGAGACTGATCCTGAGATGGAGGTGTGAGCTGAGACAAGTCTGCTGCGGGAACTGACAAAACATTGTTTGGGTAATCCAGCAAGTAAGAAACAACATTTGTATGTCCTCCTTTGGCAGCTTCAATGAGCATTGTTGAACCATCCTGAAATGAGATTTTGGAATTAAAAAGCCAGAAGATGAATTCTGTTACCTGCTGTAGCACACAAGATTTGCATTGGACCATTTAAGATTGCACATTTACTAACCCATTAAATCAACTATGTGGTCCTTTCAGCACCCATGATAAACGCATAGTTTCAAGTGAATACCTTGAGACGATGAGTAGGATCTGCACCATGAGCCAGAAGGAGCTCAACAACTGCCAGGTGGCCTCCTGCACAGGCCAGTGACACCACCGTGTGGTCATTATTAGCTGTAGCCCTGTTAACGTTGGCACCTATAAAGAGATCTCAGAATTAAACACAAGGAAATTCTTTTTAGAAGAAAGTATCAGCAAGTAAAGTATTTTCTGGAATAGAGATATACTTTTCTCTTCTATTCTTCCCAATTCATACACACTTCTAGGGTAAAAGCGAGGGATTTTGAACAACTGACAGGTTCTACATATCATCCTCCTCGTCTGTGGGCCTCATAATCAGTAAGAGAGGGAACACATATGCTTTACAAAGCACATGATCTAAATTTTCATTATAAGCACTTAACAGTATCACTACATAATGCAATTTTTATTATTTCAGACAGTACTTAATGATGTGTTTTTTTCTGAAGGAGGAAGTGCTTTAAGAAACAGAAAATATTTTCTGTACTTCAAATCTATTTATTAATCTATATGGAGTCAAAAACGTAACTAGCAAAATATTGTGTGATTCACTGTATCATGAACTCAATGAAGTTCAAAACACCCTTAAAAGGTTTGACAAATGCTCATATGCACATCATCAGATTCATTTTGAAGAAGGATCACAAACATGCAGAATTGTAAAAAGGCATTTTAATTTTTTTAATTAGTTATTAAAACTAGCATTTTACCTTTGCTAATAAGGAATTGCACAGTGCATAAATGACCAGCTCGTGCAGCCTTCATTAGTGGGGTTCTCCCACCTTCAGATTCATGCTCCTATTGTAAAAAAGAAATAACAGATGTATAAATGGACAAAAATTATACCATTGTTTCAGCTTTTGAACCATCTCATGATGGGACCAGAATTACCTGTCTCAGTAGAAGATCTATGTTATAAGCTGACTGTAATCAATATAAACTGACTAGAATCAATTTTCATGTTACTTTAAAATATTGAATCACACTGTCAAAAAGCATTAAGATCACATCCATACTTCTATCACACAAAGACCTTTCCCTACTCACTTTTAATTTTAGCATTGAAATGCTTAACATGCTTGAGAACAGTAATACCTTGTTTCCTCATCAAAAAAGGACAACTATTTAACACGAATATGATCCAGCAACAGGAAGTATACAAATAACTGTGAACTGATCTGCAACAGTTTTGAGAACTGTCACATGTTACATGCCAGACCTTTAAAAATTGCAATGTCTGAAGTGAAAACATTTTTAGAACACGCTGAAGCAGATCAGCAATAAAAATGAGACAAATCACTGCAGTTCACAAAAGTGTCTGAATAAGAGGACTGGAGAATTGAGCAGAAAGATGACAAAACCACAAAAAAGTAATGAGCAACAAGAACAATTTTCTAATTTAAAAAATTTCCGAACAGAAAAGATGTGGCTGAATACAACTGTATTAGAGAAGTTACAGAACTAGAAAATTTGCCTGCTATGTAGACATGATCAATACCACAAAGAATGCTGACTAACACATATCAACCCTCCCACAGCAGCAAGGGGAGAGAACATCATCTTCCTGGGAGTATTTGTATTTGCGCTTTGAATATTCAGCCTGATCAATAATATACTAGGACTGTGGGGTTTTTTTAATTAAATATCTGGGAAGCCATGCTCTAAATTCACTATTTACTTCTGGAGTTGCGTGTGTATCTGACAGTAAAAGTTAACATTTCGTACTGGCAGTGGATGATACTGCTATTTACAAATATAAAAGGAAAGAATAGATTTGACAGAACAAATCAACTCCTTCCCATAGTTTCAGTATTCCTGAAAACTCTGCATATGTCCTTTGACATATGGCTTGCTTTGGTTGCAAGCTGCACCTTAAGTTAGCTTCTGTTCATACACTTGAGGAAGAAATCTCTTGACTGGATCTTCTACTGGAGACTGACCCCATGCAGAAAATCAATCAATCCTTAGCCGTAACGAGGGGTTACACTACCCCTCTCTTGCGCACTTTGGGGGTTAGTGTAACCCCCTTAGCCGTAACGAGGGGGTTACACTACCCCTCTCTTGCGCACTTTGGAAAGAGAAGAAGGGCTCTGCTCCTGCACCTTCATGAAAACTTTGTATTATCATACACAGTTTCAAAACACATTTAAACTCCACACTAGTGCTTTTTATTTCTTCACTTACTTGGTACTATAATACTTAAGTGCACACAGGCTCACAGGAAGCCTTACAGACTTAATACTGAAGTCACCTCTCTTTTTTTTTGCCTATTTTAAATAAATAGATTCCACTCCCAGGGCAAATGACTGCTTAGCTGTTTATAAATATATGCATACTTTTGGACTGTCTGTATGTCAGAAATATTTGAAGGACATGTAAAGCTAATTATGTTAGTATGTGGCCCTATGGTGTCCAAGAATTGTAGCATGCTCTTGAGCTCTGGTATTCGGCATAGTTTTTCCTTCCTCAGTCACTGCCAATAGATCATAAACAGCCATATCCTGCTGTTTGCCTTATGTATGCACAGTAAACCCCTGGTACTGCTGGCAAATCACTAACGAAGCAGCTATGGATGCAAAGAACTATTGAACACTACTTCACTTGCTGAGCTGGACCAGAACGTTGCTGCCCAATTTAACAGATTTTTAAATCCCCTTTGATGCAAGAGCAAAGATGGCAAGAAGCAAAATTTATTTTAGGTTATCTTAAATATATTCAAGGTAGTGAAAAGCCATCCTATATTGCATTCAAATGTAGAATTTCAGATATCTTACTCCTAGTTATTTGCAACAATCTCTATTCCTAACAGACTTCACTGTTGAAGTCTTAGAAACGGATGTCAGGAGGCTTCCTCATTTAAATGCAATGCAGTTATTCTGCCCAGTTTAACCAACTGTCACTTCATCAAGCAGGCAGAACTTGATCTTAAACTATTATACGCTTCAAATACTTCCAGTACCATACACATCATTGGTCCAGCCAAACTAAGCCATTTGTGTGCCCACCTGCTGTAGATCTTCAAAATTTACTGCATTTTGATGGTATTTTCACATCAGAAGATAGAAATGCATATTTTATTTTAAGATGGAACTAATTTATGACTTCAGCACTCTATTTAGGCCTAATAAAGGCTAGCATATAGCATCAACTCAAGCTTTAAGGGAAAACATCTAGAACAAGCCAAAATAAGAAGCTGAGACAGTGCATTGTCCTGGTCTACTCACATCTTCTTTTACCTGGAATGGCCATAAATTTCAAAGATTTTTTTTTTAAGCTGCAGTAGATAATAAAAATCAGGACAGAGAACATGAAAAATGTCCAAAAAGCATTCCCCATCAGCTTTCCAATGTGCTTCTTCCTTGTATTAATATGAAGTACATGCAAATGCTTATTTCATAAGAATGAAAACTAGCAAGGAGTACTCATCTCCAAAGACAATTTCCCCAGCTATCTGAACGGTTGGACTCACTACAGCATTCTGTCTCTCCTTTACCGCCCCAATCCTGAGAAATACTGGTTAGTATGATCAGAAAGAGGTATAAAGGAGTTATGCCAGCTTTGAATAGAAATGCCATTCTCTAAACACTTGAGTGATGTGCTCTCCTGGTAATTTTGCCTGAATAGAAAGAACACCCGAGAATAATTTTCTGTAGGTTTGGGTACCAGATTGGAAGGAAGGAGAAAGTAAGAGTATTACTCAAATCACGTAAGAGTTAAAATTATCTGCACCTTTTCCACTGGGACTCAAAAAGGAGATGAGAAACCAGCCAGTAATAATTATTTCTTTTCTAGACAAATCAGTACTTCACAGAGCAGAGCAAAAATGGTGTCATCAGAAGCATCTTATGACAAATCACTGATATTTCTTTATTCTTGATTCATAGTTCTCTGTTTTAGGCAATTGCAAGAACAGCTACATAAGGGCTTACACCCCTCACCATTATTCTTCTTGGTTCACAAATATTCAGGTTGGCAAGTATTATTGACTAGGATTATTTTTTTTTTTAAGTTTGTTTCCAATGTCGTATGTAATTTAAAAGTTCTAGAACAAAATCTGCATTTTCAAAGTAAAGGTCCAACTGCTCTCTTCAATTCTTTTACAAGCCTCTCTCATCCATGACAACAGTGAATATTTAACAGAATTCTAAATGTTACTCTAAGCAAAATAATTTAGACAAAGTTTTTGATGCAAGACAACAGCCAAACAATGCAGTTCTTAAGACTATGCCACTTTGCTAATTTTCAATATTGAACTCCTGTCAAGAGATACAGTACTCTAGCAGTCATCTACCTAATTGTCCCAGGTAACCTTCCTGATATATGTAGCAAACCAGTATTTCGGAGGCACCTAAAAACTTAACTAGGCCTCTCGTTTAAAGGAAGTTTCTGAAAAGGGAAGACCTTACAGGAAGCTAGATATGAATTAACAGGTTTGCCTTAGCTACTTGTGACTCAATGACACAACTTGCTGCATTTCTCAAAGTTGAGATACTGTTTTCTAAAATAGGGTTTTAGAAAACCCAAAAAAGGAAATACGCAAGACAAAGATGTCATGTCTAGATTACACAGCAAGTCTTTGTATTTTTGAGGAAATTTAGATGCCTTAAAGCCATGCTTGTCATTAGCATGTATCCTGAGGCTGCAGCTTACAAGCATCAAAGGCCAACCTCACCTGATGCTTGCCCGGCTCTATGCCCTCCAAAATAGTCTTCTTTAAGTCCTCCTGCTTGTCCTGCGGAAGGAAAAATAAGAACTCACGGCTCTTGTTCTACAAATAAATGTTGTTCTTGGTCATGAAGACCTGGAATATGAACTTAAATGGATCAGATCCACCAGCTGAAAACTCTGCTTTGCTGGAATTAGGCAAGCAAGCACAAATTTAAGACCAAAGCAATGCAGCTCTCACCAGTTAAGACTCCTACCACAAGCCATTCAGATTCATGAAGAGAGCACAAAGGTCATACACAACATCTAGATAAATGCAAGATGACTTTTTGTTCACTACTGACAAAAGAATTTCATTGTACTTTGCACCATCCAGAGACTGCAACACAACATCCAAAATATCTAACTACAAAAATTAGTTTCATATGTCCTACAACCTTTTGCTTTATTTGTAGAAGACTGAGGGCCAAGTCTAAAAAGACCAGAAATCCATGACCTTTCCCTGATGGTTCAAGGAACAGTATGGAAAAACATGACAGCTTCTCAGATCCCTCACTGTAGTGACAACATAGCTATCTCCAGCATGGTTTTACTCAAATAATTAAGTATTTGCTAGTTCTGTAGATGTTTGAATGCTGCCTTATGCACACTGCATCAAACATGCAGTGTGTCATACACATAAAGGACAGTGAGTTTCTAATTAAGAAGCCACATTAGCATGAAGGGTGTTATCAACTGAAGGTAAAGGAATAATCCCTGCAATGACAAAAACATCTGTCAAAGAATTTTGTCATAGGGCAAGAATCAAAAGGTAGTTTGGCATGCCTGTTTTTGGTTGTGTTTTGGTTTTGTTTTTCAACCAGAGTTATGTGGATGCCAGGTAGCCAGTTTTAGTCTTTTAAGGAAAGCCACGAATGGAATTTTAACAAGTATAAAGAACTTTAGGGAAAGCTTGACAGTAAAATGAAAAGAATGCACAGATGAAGCTGCCCTCAGGGGTTCTCATCCATCTCTGAATTTCAGCATAAAAGCACCCATATATCTTGTAGCAGAACGGTAAACTCCATCACTAGATCAACTCTCCTGTGCAGTAGAGCCTCATGTACAGTTGCAAGGCAGCCCAGATTAGAAAAATCTCAATTTAAAACTCTTTTCTGTACTTCCCAGCCGAGAAAAGACAGTATCTTCTCACTGTCCAAAAAAAAAAAGAACAATCTCTCTTTTGTTTTCAGCTACACTAAACAGGCAAAGATGCAACCACCCTGTCAAGAACAGTCTCGCTCTCAAAAAGGAAACTGGAATCTCCAGTGTGCAGCATTTCATCCATTAAAGAGCAACAGGCATCCACACAGGCACTTTTAATTTAGAGAAAGGTATACAGCTTAAAGCAGTATATTACCTCCCAATAAATGTCAACAATACTCTTTGTGAGCTTTACAATCCTTCACCCTAGTTCTCGTGGGAACATACATGTACCACATGTGTCTTACCTTATACAAGCTTTGAGATGAAGGTAACTGCTGGTAAAGGCACAAAGGAAAAAAAAAAAAGAGAACTCTTACAGGAAAAAGTATTCTCTCATCTTTGAGATTAGACAAATCCTCGCCACACAGCTAAATAACTGTATTACTGAAGTGCTGGTTATTTTTTCCTGGAGCTATTAAAGCATACCGCCACTTAGAAAAAATGCTTCTATCATATAATATTTCAGAGTTCTAATCTCTAAAATTTACTCCTATTAATCACAAAAGTAGGTGTTTTGTCCCCATAAAGTTTGTAAACAAGTAAAATTTACATTTGGTCCAGTGACAGGAGCTCAGACTAAGACCCTGAAAAGTCTCTAGTCCTGCAGGCAATAAAGGAACTAGAATGCAACTAAGGCACAGATGGAATCACAGGCTGAAGTCTTCAGATGTGCCTCATATTAAGTCATTCATATACTTGGCAAAAGCAAGCAGATTTGAAAATGCATACATTCTGCTTGCAACAAGTAAAGGTGTAGGCCTGCCAATCTAGTTTTGTTAGAGATTTTGACAGGCCAACTTTGTCCCTGTAAGGACATGGAAAACACAGATCCCTTAAAGTAGGGCATCAGAAAAGCATCAGAAGAATTGGTAACAAGCCAGACTTCATAAACAATTAGTCACAAGGAGATAGAAATTCATCAAAATACCATACACAATTTAGCAGCTCTCCAGCAGACAGAAACAGATGAGCATGTACTCTGACACTGTTCATTTCTAGTATAACTTGCCACTGCATAGTTTTAAGGAAAAATTAACCACAAACCAAAGAAAGTTCATTTCAGCCCTCATTTTCTTTTAGTTCTCCAGGTTTTATAAAGCCACATTCCTTAAGGACTCTAACAGAGCTCTCAAGATGTTTACTGGTTCTTGAACTGAATTACATATTTGATATCTAGGCCAGAGGATCAGTCCCTGAAAAGCAAGAGTTCTCATTTTGTACTTGTAAGAACAACAGCCTTTTTGTGCTGAGATGTGATGTAAGTCACTCCTAGTTCAGACAAAACTGAAGACTAGAATCACCATATAATGATCACAGAACAATTTAGGTCAGATGGGACCTTCCAAGACCATATAGTTCACCCTCCTGCCATGGGCAGGGACATCTACTAGATCAGGTTACTCAAAACCCTGTCCAAGCTGACCCTGAACTTTTCCAAGGATGGGGCATCCACAACTGTTCTAGGCAATCTGCTGTAGAGTGTCACCACCCTCACTGTAAAACATGCTCAGACTTTAGCTCAAGGTTTTATTTCAAGATTGGTAAAACCTCAACTGGACATGAGCAACATACAGGAATTCGTTCAGCTGGGTAACTTCAGCGAAGTTGAAAGACTTCAGTTTTCAATGAGCACAATATTGAACAGAAACACCTTCTGCCCTCTGCTGATTTGGTTAACCCTGAATGAAAGAGGCTCCTCTTCACACCTGCAGTCTCAAAGTCTGCACCTCAAATTCCACTGAGTCCTCATCTCCTGGCAATTGAAGCTAACAAATATCTGAGGTCTGTAAGTAGATTATATACTTTCCAAATCAAGGAATAAACGCTTCAAATAATGAAGAAATGGGAGAACTGATTGCAACAAATCTTGACAGCCAGTGCTTATCGTTCCTTTAACTCAAAAGCATTTGGGGAAGATTCCTCAATCTAGAATCAGGAAGAAGAAAAATCCTCAAAAACTATGCTCCATGCCTTCCTGGTCTGGAAGAAAACAGAATAAGCAGGTGGCTCATGAAACAAAGCAACAACAGCAAAATCCAGCAGTGGCTATATCTCCATGGGTAAATAAAACAGGGCCAAGAGACAAGCTTAAGCATGGGATCACTGGTCACTAACACTGCTTATTCCTTCACAGCCTCCCTGGCACAGTGCTGGCCCTAGCCTTGTCACGAACCACAGGGAAGGTGGTCACCAGGGATTATTACCAACAGGTAGCATGTAAAATGTAACATTAAGTTAGCCTCTGCTTATCTCAGAGGCTCTGCAACCTCAAGAGCCCCTTCAAGACCTCATCCCACAACCCAGGGGTGTCCAGTGTATGCTCCCAGTATTGCGTTATGAAAACAGCACTGTGGTGGGCTGTGATGTAGGCACTGACACCTGCTAGACCCAATGCTGCACAGCATGGATGCATTCAGTGGGTGCCTTTTGTCCCTGCCATCAGAGAATGGCCATTATCCCTATTCCATTCCATTCCCATTTTCTTCAAAAAGGACCACTCCACAAGAGGGAAGATACTGTATCTGCAGCTCCTGACTGTGATATAAATGCCAGGTATGGAAATAGAAGGGAAGGAAGAAGGAAGGAAGGAAGGAAGGAAGGGGGGGAAGAAGGAAGACAGATCAACTGGAGATGTACTTTCATTTGTGTGTCTGAAAACCAGGAGAGCAAAATTAGACAAATGAAGACAGACCAACCAACCAGATCTGCTTTCAACACCTAATCCACCACAGACTTCCTGGTACAGCTTGGTGAAATCATCTATCCTTATGAAAATTGAAATCCAGAATAATCATCTCCCATAGCACTGCTAATGAACTTACCATATCCCAGTAGTAACACTCCAGCAACCTTCCTCAGAACAATTACAAAGATAACAAAACTATTCAAAAACCAGCTTACAACTTCTGTGTGATGCTTTGCTTTATAAGGTTTGAAAGGTAACTGCCCCAAATCTGAGGCACCTACTGTAAAGCATCACTGCAGTTTTGCAAGCAATTCCTCATTTACTTACAATCAGTTCAAAACTGGTAGATTTATATGGCAGGTCTCCTTTCCATCTGCAATTTTCCTTTGCTTCCTTACTATATTTTCCAAGACAGCTCCCCATTTTGATTGCCAGTACAAGAAAATGCAGTAAAACAAAGCTTTACTTTAGAAAGGCATGAGGTTTTTCTCAGCAACTTCATCAGAAGTTCATTTTTCATCAGAACTAGATGCTAAAGGCCACAAGCACTGCTCACCTTAGTGATGAGAAGAAAAAAAATAAAAATGATACAACACTAATAATTTTAAGTGACACTTAAGCAGCAACCCTTGCATGCTTTTAAAAGTTTACACATAGCATTTGTTTTGGTTTAGGCTTTGCTCCTCACTATGAGATGCTGCATGGATTATAGTTTTTCTATATCAAGTGCTTAAACACTTTTTGAATAAATCAGCAATAAAACCCCCAAAACTTATCCTGCTTCTGCTAAAGTGGCTGATGCTCAGTACCCAACACTGAATAGAGCAAGGTGCAGCAGGTGTGCCAAAACACTGCCCCCCCCCCCGGTAGGAACATATGAAGCAGAACTTTACTGCAAAAGATTTAATAAGGCCTGAAAAAAAAAGTATATTCACATAGAAGAGTGGAAACATTAATTCACAATTACAGCATTAATTTGTATTTGTAAAGATGAAGTTTAAAAAAATAAAATACTTCATTTAAGACTGAAATTTAAGCAACTTCATTATGATATTGATTTATCAGGTTCAATGATAAACTTCACTGGCATTCTTATTATTTAAAATGAGCAAAAACCCCTAAAATATCCAACCAAAACCCCAAACCCCTCCCCAAACCAAAAAACCCACACAAGTAGAGAGTGTGGGAAAAGAAAGGAGAATAGTGGGAGAAAAAAGAAAAAGGCAACCAAAGGAACAATCTTCCCTGCTTATGCCTTATTAGATATAAGGCTTCTAAACTTCTTTAACATATCAATTGCTTTTTACTGCTTAAAAGCCAAACCAGCATTATATATCCATATCCCTGTAGCTGATGAAGTGGCAGTTTAAGGTCTCCCACTACATAATATGAAAAAAAAGTCAAGACAATTATGTAAACAACTTATTATGATTAAATGCATTACAGAAAACAAACACTCAAAGCAATATGATAAAATCAAGAGTTACAAGAAAGAAAAGAGTTCTAGGACAAAGAAAAGAGATCATATTATGCTGGTCATTTAAAAGGCAATGCTTAGTTTAGGGGGTTTTGTGTTGTTGTTTTAAGAAGTTCAAGAGGCTCACAATGTCCAGAAAGTAACACTAAAATAGAGAAGTAGTAGCTGGTAATACGGAAACATTTTAAATTCAGAGCAGTAGAGCAGGTAAACTCTAAACTATAAGAGTTTGGGAATAATAAAGTAGCATAATGAATAAAGACAACACAGGAATATATCCTGCTAAATAATTCAACTTATGGATTATACTGAAGTGAAGATAATCAACTGTCACAAGTGTAAGCTATAGCTAAAATTTTTCACTTAACAGATGAAAGATTACCCAGCAATAATTTTTATTTTTTAGACCAAACAGAATATGCAGGCTTTTTAAAGTTTCTTTCATGGCTTTTTTCACACCCATATATGAATCTCAATTGCTAAATAATCTTCCTGCTCTATAAGCATGTAAGCTTTGGCATACAGTTTCAAACCAAAGTACTTCCCCCACAAGATGCAGCAGAAGTCTTACCAAATCAGCACCAGCTTGAAGCAACACATCTGCAACATCAGTATGTCCATTTTCACAGGCATAGGTCAAAGCTGTATCTCCTGTTGCTGTGGTGGCATGAACATTAGCTCCTAGAAACAAAACATTAGGGTTTTTTTACTGGACATCTCCTTATCAAGTATTTCATATCAGATAAACACAAAAATCAAGGTCCTTTTTCTGTGACAACAGCTACATCCTACTGATCAACATCTTCCACAGCCCAAGGGCATTGCCCTCATGTTAAAAATTGCTCTTGTAGAAAAAAATAGTCTGAGGAGAGGAGGTAAGCCAAGCCTTGGAAAAATCATGACTGGCAATCTAAGCACTTAAACCTATATGCTCACTTATTCCTACATTCCCTCTACAGCAACAAAGATTTCAGTTGTTACAATAAATAAAAGGGAATCCAGACAGTGTCTAGACTATCCATTTGACAGGGAGCTGCATGCCAAGGGAAACCACACAAAATGCATGTTACTGAATTAGTATTAATACTACAAGACCATTAATTTCTTCGCTGCTCTTTAAAATCATTTGCTTTAAAACCATTTTGTTGAAATCACGTGACTAGCTTCATATATGTCAGCTACACGGAAACTATGCATTATTCTTGCTAAGTAACGCATTATTCTGCAAGAAAAAGAGCCAGCGTGATTAGCCATTTTCTTATTTTCAAGGCGTGCAATACATTTAGAGACTCCCTGAAGCCAAAAAAAGGCTCCTCAACTAACTTGCTACATTATCAGAAGCGAAGTGCAAGCAGATTTTCAAGTGAGCTGGTGACAGGTGTCACATGCTGGAATCATTGTGCAAAGAGACACAGTTGTTACTGTCCCCTGATGAGCAGGGAGCATTACTGTCTAAACTTACAAATCCAGACGATTTTATGCTTATTCTTAGAAAAGATCACACAAATAAATCAGCTCCCATAACAAGGAAGGTTTCCAAAATGCAGTCCTTTTATTTATTATTTTAAGCAGTATTACTACACTTTAGTCTCTATGAACTTTAAACAGACAGATGAACATTGAAGGGTCATTCCTCCCCAACTCCAGCAAGATGAAACTTTTACTACTGTATAATGTAGTAATAAAACTCACTCATCACAGAAATTCAGCACATTCCAGAATCTTCCTTGCACACTATTTCCCAGGGCACAATTCCTAAAGTACTGGCTATTCAGGGAGACTGACTGCAGATAATCGGGCTCAGTCAAAGCAGGAGTACCACATAAAACCAAGTATTATCTGTATTAACATTTTGTCCTGAATGCAGTTAGCTGGAAACAATGTTCCTAATGAACGTTGATGTTTTTTAGATATGCAACAGAATCCACTGCTCCATGAGGCACTTTCCTCTGTTAACAGTATCAAACAATATTCAAGTGTAACATACACTTTTTTCTTCTTGCTAAGGTACCTGAGAACATAGTTTCTTGTTACAACACTGCCATCATCAAGCCCAAGTATCTTCTAAATCATATAGAATGAGTGTCTAATATCTGTGGGCTAGATCATTTGCATTGCACACATACCTGCTGCCAGCAAGTATTTCACCAATTCAAGATGACCCTCTTGAGCAGCTTCCATCAAAGGTGTTGAGCAACCAAGTTCTATATCAGCTCCTGCCTTAATAAGGAAGTCAGCTACTTCAGAAAACCCTCCACAACATGCCAGAGTAAGAGCTGTTTCCTGCGTTTCTTCTGTCTGGGCATTTATATTTGCTCCTAAGAAACAAAACAGCTGTTACTTTAAATGACCATACACCGGGTAGGAAAGTGAATGCTCACCACCTCCACAGTTTGGGTGTTTTAGCTTTGCTTTGTAGTTACAGCAATGAGCAGTGAGAGCCACATGCTACACCAGAGGAATTTGTGTGGAATACCTAATGGCAAACGGTCAACACTGCATTCTTCATTACAAATGCTCAAGAAACAAGTGATCTTACCTTGTGCCAGTAGCAAGGCTACCATCTCTTCATGACCTTCCCGGGCAGCTTCCATTAGGGGAGTATAACCTTCATCATTAACTTCCTCCAGGTTAGCTCCCCTTTCGATCAGAAGAGCAGCTAACTCCACGTGTCCACCACAAGCAGCCAGAGTGAGTGGAGATTCAAATGAATCTGCAGGCATATTCACTTGAGCACCACTGTCTAAAAGCAAGCGTGCCACTTCCACGTGTCCATCCTACAAAAGGTGAACACAAAAATCAGGAACAGCTGTGTAGTTGCAACTACCACTATCACACTAGGTCTGAAAATTATGATGGGATTTTTTACTTATAATAGTTCAATTTATGACATAGTTATGGTAATAATTGGCTTAAAGTGACATTTAGGTTTCCACCTTCCACATCTATGTTAGGTTTAAAAGCATGAGGAAAAATGAGCTATGTTGGGTTTTTTTCTTTCTTGGGGGAGTACGGAAGGAGTTATGGGAGAAGACTTTCTTAAATATCCAGCAGAGTATCCGGTAATAGAGACAGCAAACAAGTATCACAAGCACTAAACCTATTCCATGACTAAAACTCAAAACAAGCATCGGAAAAAAGATTTTCTTTGTAGTCAATTCATGGCTTCTACAAACCAAAAAAGTGCAAACGGACAGTTTCTAGATCCTGGGAAAAATACATGCAGAGAAACTGAAGTGGGTTACAATAACGTAGGTAACAGGGGGAGGGAAGACTTCAATAAGTCTTAAAGGAGACTGAAAAGTGCCTGAGGTGAAGCAGTCTTTGCCATGGAGGGAAGATAATTAGGATTGGCAGAGCAGTATTTAGGCCCTTACCAATCAAAGCATATAAATGAAGCTACCAGTTTCTCAAGAAACTATTACTAAAGTCCTCGAAGTTACTTGAAACAGACCAAGTATCAAAAATCCATGTTTCACTTAAGGTGTGGTTTGTAGAGAGCCACAATGCTGCTGAAAAGGGGAAATATAAAGAAGTTTTGGCATTAGGAAAGAAGAAACAGTCACATGGTTTCTCCTTCCCACATAATTTAAGGAAGTGAGACCTAAACATGTGGAACAATTTGCAGAGGAGACGTTAGAAAACTGAAACAGATTACAAACTACACCTAATGAAGGGGAAAGGTTCAAGTCATCCAGAGAGTGCTCAGTGAGCTACAGAAGATCTGAGAGTCTAATCAGAGTGTTTCATACCAGACCTTTCTTCAGCATTTACAATTAAAAGGGTAACTTAAGGATGGAGAGGGAACCCTAAGTAAAAGGCTCGAAGCATGCTCTTTCTATCTTTCAGTGGGGAGAAAGCCACTTGCTGCCTTGCATATACCTAATAGCTATGCACCTGCAGTTATCACCTTGGTCATTTGCCATCCAAAGAAATATGGGCTTCTTCCAGAAGGACTAAACTGTCAGCCAGCTTTGGTGATTCAGAGCCCTGTGTCCCGACACAGTGCTGCTCCTGGTATTTGACAGTTAAACTGGCTTAATTCTTTAAACTAGCCCCAACACACGCTGACAGGTTTTGCTAGAGAACTAAAGAATACTTCTTCCTGAGAAAGACATAAGAAGGGCCAATTTCAGTGGCAAGTAGCAGATATTTTTATGGAGTGTCCTTGGAAGTAAATATAAATAAAGATGAGCAATACTAAAGGGGGAAGGAAAAAAAAAAAAAAAAAAGAAATTTAGACACCTTTGCTCAAAGTTCAAGCCAGAGCTGTCCACACTAGGTCACTGATAGCTAGGGGTGATTTATAAATTTAAAGCTAAGAATTTCACCAATTTCCAAAATTACTTATGTATTAAGAACAGCAACCTCAAGCAAACTACCAGTTTCTGATCTCAGTAGAAATATCAGCCAGTAACTCAAAGCTAACACAGAGCTATAGAAAAGGGGGCAAGAGGGATATCAAACACAGCCCCTATCAACACTCGTCTGAAGTTAACCGTCTGAAGTCAACCACGAAGCATGTAGTAAGTAACCTGAGATTAACAGCAATCAAGTTTGCAAATTAAAGACAGGCTGTTGTTCTGAGAGAAGCTGGCTAAAAGCCAGTAACAACCCCATTTAACTAAAAGCATTATTCCAGGTGTGGCACTCCATCTTGACTAAAACGTACTAAAACTCAGAAGCACTTACAATATAATCAGTGATCAGAGATCAGATAGCTTCCTGTACGTGCAGCATTCATTAGTTGGAAAACAGTGCAAACTGCGAAAAGTCACAATAATTTGGTGGAATGGTTCCCCTCTGCAAGTGTGTAGCCAAAAGATAAGAAGCAACAAACTCCATCATGGGACTTCATTGGACCAATTTCCACTCTGTTGCTTTTAAAGGTCAATACACTCTCTATAATGCAAACTAGTCTGAAACATCCAAGAGCTAAAACACACAGGCAACCCACACAGCTTCATCCTACCCAAGCAAGACACTTCAAAGCCTCCAAGTCATCCCAGTACTGAGACTGTATCACCATGAAAAAGAAAAAAAAAAAAGACTAAACCTAAACAGAACAGTGGGCTGATTAAAACATTTAGTTTGCAGTCATGCTTCTATCTCCTTTAGGTGACAGCATACACCCACTGCAACTATACGTTCTTCTGAATTCCTTACTGGCACTAGGCTCTCATACAGGAAAAACTATTCTAAGATACTATTACAATCTCACTATTGGAAGACTTTAACACAGCTTGAGATGTTATAATCTGACCTTGGTCACTTGCTCATCAACTCACAAGTGTACTAAAACAACATTTGATCCTCCAGCTCTCAAAAGGCAACAAGAACATTGCAGACTATCTTCTAAGGATGACAGGCTACTAAGAGCAAATTAATTTTTCCTCTATTTGCTGTGCTACCTATGAAAACAAGGTCCTCATTCTTTATTCAAAGATTTCCCCAGCCTGAAGAACAGATAAAAGGTCATACAAGGTCTGGACAAAAATGGTTGTAGATGTGCTTTGACACAACAGCACACTCTTTATTAAGATGAAGCTCTTGGAAAACGAAGTTTTTCCTCAATGGTTGCTTTGAAATCATACAAGTTGCCCCAAAACTAAACTACTTTTGACCTATGGTTTTATTTTCAAAAGAAAAACCTCACAGCACCATTTACAGAAAACTAGAAGAGAGCAAACCACATCTACATGCAAAACGCTGCAGTAGTGAAAGGACAAGCATAATGCATTAGTCATCCAGCTCAGTGCACTTCTGGAAGGCTCAAGCCATGATGATCTGAGAGACCTTATTTATAAAGACAAAGGTGGAAAACTAACTCTTACATTGCAAAAGGAACAGTGACTTGCGCTCAACCTATTACTTTCACTGCAATTAGTTACCCCTACACTTCACATAGGGAAGGCAGTTAAAACACCACATCAAACCCCCCCCCAATTATTTTTCCCTATGACCAATCAGACTGAGAGGCTGGCCACCTGTGGTAACTACAGTAAAGGCTTTCTTACAATAAAAACTAACACACACTCGCTTGCGAACCTGAAACAGTTTGTTAACAAAGGTTCACTTTATCTTGTCATCTCTTTTATTCCTCTCTCACTGAAAGGGAGCAGTACAAATAAAGACTATTTACCATGCAGGCCTCCATTAGCGCCGTGTGCATCTCATCTGTTTTATGCTCTTGATCAGCTCCAGCTTCAAGCAAAAAACGAACCATATCTAAATGGCCTTTGAATGAAACAGATCAAAATAAATAAGCATTTAATATAATGAACTTTTAGTAACACAGACAATATGCAATAAAATATTTTGAATTTCTATAGTTTATTATCACAAATTTTACAAGTTATAAATTTGCAAACCTGCTCTTTTTAAAGTACTCTCAAAAATACCAGTGCAAAATAGACAGCAAGACTTTAGTTAGTCTTTCCCAAAGATACTTCCCAACTATAAGATGAAGACAGACCTCTTCAAGTTTACACAACAGAAAACTTTTCCTGTGACTTCAGGCTTAAGGAATTACTGCAGTCACTTATTCAGCTGTATAGTGACTTATCAATTAAGTGTTCCAAGGCAGTATACAACTGGGGGGATTATCTTTTAGACATGTAGATCTGAACTTTACTTTGAGCTTGTTAATCACAGTATTCACAGATATATTTCTGAGAACAAAAACATGCACATCAGGTCATATTATGTTGTCTGACACTACTTTTAAAACCTTCTACTGAACTTTACCAATACTTGTTTTCAACTTTATTATAGCTTTAGTCATTTTAGAATTTGTCCCTTTCAAGTTATATATTTTATCCGCTCAATGAGCGTCCTCCTCCAAGACAAGACTTAGTTTTACATGAGCTGATAGGAAAACAAGGTAGCTCAACCATCTTGCCAAAAATAATACAGGAAATCTCTAGGCAGTTAAGATCTTATATTACATCACTAAGTTTTAGGTCACAAGAAACTAGAATGCCTCTCCAACATATCCAGGAGTACTATTACTGAAATTTCTCTGCAAGAAACTACTACTATGTGCTGCAGGAAATCCATGACAAATCCAGATGCAAGTTTTCACATGGGTTATACAGCACATATTCTATAGGTCTAACCAGAGAAGTAAAACCTGAAGTTACTGTAACAATAATCTGCATCCTTAAAGCTTCTATTAGGAGAAAAACAAATGTTATGAACTTTTATGGAGGTTTTGGGAAGAAAAAGCAAACTCGGAAGTACACTGGATTACCACTGCATTAAGTTGCTTTCTATAGAAACTTTAAATAACAGAATAAATTTTCAGAAGTCCATAAAAGTTCATGATACATAAAAATTCATAGACATACTCCAAAACAACAATGAAGGAAAATTATCCAGTAATAACACAAACATTTTCACCCCATCAGGTATTCCAGAAACATGTATTCTAAATTCACATTTTAACAACTGATGTTTTCAGAACTTGCAGATAGTTCATGAGTGGAACCTGAATGAAATAGGGAATGGGAAAGAGGAGAGAAGTCCTTTGTCAAAGCATAAGTCTGGATGCAATCAGTCACAAGTTTTTACTTGCAGTGTGTCAAATACAAGCCCACCACATTTGGACAGAAGTAGACAGGCTCAATACCACTACACCATGGATGAGCATCTCCTGATATTGACTTTAAAACCTAAATCCAGTATTCCAAAACTATTAAGAAAACATTCAAACTATAGCTGGAAGCTTTAGTTAGATAAACCCTAGCAAATAAATTTTAACAAAAATGCAAAACAAGGCAAGAGACAATACCTTTATAACACGCAAGTGTAAGTGCACTTTCTTTGAATTCATTGGAGTGAGTGTTGATTCCTGCACCATATTCCAGCAATACTCTTGCAACCTCAACATGACCTGCACTGGCTGCTTCCATTAAGGGGGTATGCCCATTCTCATTGTGGTCTTCTATATTAGCACCAGCTTTCAATAGCACCTTCACTATGTCAACAAAGCCCCCAGCACAAGCGTAAGTGAGAGCTGTGTTCCCTGCAGAGAAAAAGTTTACATGAAAACCCCTTCCATCACCCACTCCTAATATAGGAAAGGAAATTAGTTTTAACAGCTCTGAACCAAACCAAATACATCACTAGCAGCAGACTTTTACTTTCAAAGCAATGTTACTACAGCCAATAATTTCATGCTGGGTATAAAATCCCAATACTCCTATAATGGAAACAAGTTTTAATGCTAAGCCAATATTACAAATCAGGATTTTTTTCTTTGGTTATTATGTTTCCATACTTCAGCATACAAAGAGAGATCAAATGCACACACACACAAAAAAAAAAAAAATCTATAAGTAACTTCCATGCTCACTGCAGAGTACCGACAGGGGAGCCAGGGAGGGGTGGTTGGTTTTTTGCTTTTGTTTTTTTCCTATAATCCCTTGAAAAACTTCTACTGGCTGGTAGATTAATTAAATTTATAATTTAAAACTCTGGTACTGTGACAGACAGACATTCACATACGGCTCACTTTAAATGCTACAGTCAGTTTAAAGATAAGTTCTGCTTAATATGGCTAATCATCAAGATAAAAAGAACATTTTATAGTTCAGAAACCCAACTTTCTTAGAATTTGAACAAAGTTTAAATACTAACAATATTAACAGAATCCAACTGCGGGTTAATACTCTCAGCAAGGTTAGTTAAAATATGGTCAAGCATCAGCAGTATAGACAACACTCAATGCTCAAAGAATTGTACCTCCTCTGCAGTAAAAAGCAACAGACCGAAATAACTGGTCTCAACCAGATGTGTTCCATGGTGGTCTTAATGAATAATTTCGGATTATACAGATAAGGAAAAACTAGACTTCATTTATTTTTCTGGTCATCTAAAAATCACAGTGCTTTCCACTACCATTTATTTGAAAACAATCTTTAAAAACTGCCAAGGTAAGACTCTAAACTCATTCGCTACATATCTGGCTGATTAATAGTTCCTGTCACATCTCGTGAATGAAACTATCAGACAAAACCACAAATGTTCAGAACTGCTGCATTATCTTATGTGCCAATCTTAGTAATTCTTAAGTGTTCCTGCTTCCCAGTTACCTGTTGAAGACTGTGCGTTGACATCTGCACAATGAACAAGGAGAAGTTTAACAATATCTACATAGCCTCCACTGGCAGCTGCCATCAAGGGAGTTATGTCTCCTTTATTCCCTCGATCTTCAACATTTGCATGCATTGCTAGTAGCACCTAGAGGAAAAAAATCACTTTAATTAATAAATTGTAACACCAATATTTAGCTTTTAGTTCAGGAAGCTTGTGAGAATGATTCTACAGTCAGTTGTGACACCCTCTTGCAATAGCAGCCACAATGGTGAAGTACAATGGAGCTTCCCAGGACCATTTATAATTACTACTTGCATTGTGTTCTGCTTCAGAAAATGCTGTTTCTCTACATTTGTTCATATCTCTAAAATCAACATTAAGTTACAGTGCAATACTGACATTTTCAAAAGTCACAGGGCAAATCACTAAGCAGAATGATAGCAGAGAAACTGTAAGCTTGCATTAATGACCACAGCACATATCAGCTCAAGATTACAGGTAAACAGTTTTCTCCCTGTACTCTTGCCTGGCACCAAAACGTGAAGCTGGCCATTTTCTGAGAACTATCACCTAAACATCTTCAAAGCAGCACAAATTCTGTCCTTAGATACACAAGCATAAAAGCCAAAAATTAATGAAAATTAATGCACTGTCAATACAGGTGTGATTAAAAAAAAAAAGGACTGAGTTAAGACATCAGTTTTTAGAAGGTAACCACTTGTAGTGTTTGATTTTGCTGCTATTTTAGATTCTCTTGCAATGTCTGCTTGACTGGATCTAGAACAATGCCAGAAAAAGTAGATACATCATAAAACACAAGATATGTTCCTCAGACAAGTCCCTTAAACCTAGAGGCACATATAACAGAATTTTCCATTAAAAAGACAAATGATAACTAGAAGCCTACAATAAGCTGTACTAGCTGATAATCTGTTCAGTTTATAAAAAATTATTATATTCAGAATAGCTAAAATGTTTACCTATCAAAGAAGGCCCTTAGGCAATGCTTCACAAAAGTTTAGTTGTGATTTTATTTGTTACTTACTTGTGCCAATTCATAATATCCTGCTGAACAGGCCAAGCAAAGGAGACTCTCCCCTTCTTCAGTATGTTCATTTACACTTCTTCCTTCATCCAACAGCTTCCGGACAGCATTTACATCACCATCTGAGCATGCTTCTGCCAAACTGCGACTGGAAAAATCAGTTGCCACAGAATTAGCTCAAAATAAATCTGCAATAAATGGGTAGCTTTCCCATGCAAGGAAGAAGTCTGTAAGTAAAGACTCATGACATTAGTACTAAGCCTTACTAGGAAACACACCTTACAGATTATTTTTTTTTTTAAGAAAAAATGTGTATATATATATACACACATTATTTCCAAACATGAACGAGATAAAGACCTTTTTTGTGTCTAAATTAGCTCTTGTCCTCATCAGCTACTAACTTACATAAACTCTCATATAGACTACAGGCAGAAAAGAATGCTCAAAACTACCTAATTTGTAGTTTTTTAAAGATACAGAAGTAAACCTCGCTATGCTATTCGTACTTGGGTGGAACGCCAGAGACACAGAGGCTATGACCGTGACGAACTACTGACTATAGCTACCAAGGCAAATTTCTAGTCGAGATAAAGCCAAAAAGTGAACAGCCTAGTATCACAGAGAGAACTAATACTGAATACTTCAACAAGACAAACTTCTGACTGGTGTGTCTCCTGTAGTGGGACTATTTCCTTCTCTGCACTAGCCCAAAGCTTTTTTTCTTTTAATTGAAAACACAGTTTCTTAATTTCAGCATCCAATTCAAAGAAAAATCCTTACCTTACCTAATGACATCTTAAAGGAAGAAAGGAAAGGAGCCTTAACAGAAGTTTTCTATGTTTCCTTTCAAGCACTGTTAAAAGCATATTACAGAAGTTTTCAGACAGATGAAATAAGCCAACTGAACCGCACATTTTTAAACATCAATAACAACACATCCTATGTAGAACACTACTAACTCTACCTCTTCTGACTTTAAGGACATTACAAGATAAGAGTTAGAAGGAAAAGACAAGACAAACCCCAAGTTCTTGGCATCTAAAAGCTCAGGAATCTATAATCACTACTTTAACCATCGTTAACCTCTGAAGTAGAGAAAATAGCTATTTCCTGAGACCCAGGAAAGTACACTATGTAAATCTTGACAAAGATGAGCTGAGCTTCAACTTATCTCAAACCAAGTCACTTGCCCTTCAAATCTTTTTCTTTTTAAAAAAAAAAAAAAGTCTAACATCAAAGACAACTGTTACACTTGTGTTTAGCAGTGCTTTAAACAAAAGCAAGTCATGCTCAATACCAACTCAGTTACACTTCTCCAACATGCAAGGAATCACGGTCCTTCAGCAGAAGGAACCAAACCACAGTTAATGCCCTGGTGGGAGGGGGAAGGGAGGAAGAGCCCTCTGCTATAAACAGTAGTTTAGGAATGCATCACAGTCTGTTATAATCAGTCTATTTGCAAAACATGGAAACCTGTTTCTTAAAACAAAACCTAGTACACTCAGGTTCATTAAAAACCTCAAACTTATTTTCTTTTGTAAAAGACAAAAGTTCACTCAAGAAATTCACTCACAATAAAGAAAATAACCCTTTGAGCACAAGGTTCTGTCAGGAAAGCATACATATTTCAATTGTTCAAAAACTCTAATGGTTGCTCTATGTTAAGTCCCTGTTTTAAAAGGAACTCACTTGCCATACACCCCCAAATGGAATAAACTGTCTGATAAAAGCTGAGATCTGACCTGAAGAGAATATCCACTATCTGCTTGCTTGTTTGCACTGTAATCACTAAGTATTTTAAGCAAAATAACTGATATTTTGGTAAAGTTTATTATTTGGCTACATAGTCAAGTCTATATTATACTCAATCAATGGGATCACACTAAAATGCTGCAGGACACTATTAAACCTGTCACCTTCTCCTGGGAGGTAGTAAGGGACAGCTATACGTTTGTTTAGGGCACAAGCAGTCAAAAAGGCCTGCTGCAACCCACACATAACCATGCATTTACAGCTCAGGTTTCCATGTTCAGCTGGGAGGAGAGAGTGGGAATTTATGCACTTTTGCACACACATAGTCTAGTCTTTAGAAATGGGAGCCACCCAACACCATAACCTGCGAGACAAATCTTGAAACAGGTCCATCATTCTCAGAAGATAACCTTAAGCCACCCCATAATACAGAACTGCTGTGAAACCAAATATGCTCTGGGAAAAAGCTATTAAAAACAGGGCTCTTAGTTCATTCTAGTTGACCAGGCACCTCAAGAGTCTCTCAGTTTGCTCTCTGCTCAGGTTCCCTTTGAGATATTTGCAAGACATTTTGTATAAATGACAAGTATGAGACTGTGAGACTCTTCCAAATGAAGCACAGGATGCTGTTGACCTTTGCGCTGGCTTATGTTCCACTTGTTGTCTGCCATGAAACTCAGGTCTGTTTCTCCAAAGTTGATTTCTAGCCATTCAGCCCTCCCCATCCATACCCATGCACAGAGATATTCCTCACTAGTTGTAAGACTTGACATCTCCCTTTGTTGAATTTCGTAATATTCCTGCTGACCCCTTTCTCCAGCTTGTCAAAGTCCTCCTGAATGGCAGCACAACCATCCGGTTACCCTCCCTTCAGTTTTGTATCATCTGCAAACTTGCTGAGGATGTCTTCCGTACCATCACACAGGCCACTGGTGAAGGCTTTCAACAGTATTAGCCCAAATATCATCCCCTGTAGTACACCACTAGCAACTTGCCTTCACCTGGACTTCGTGCTACTAACAACTCTGAGCTAGTAGTTCAGATGGTTTTCAGTCCATCTCACTGCCTACCTACCTGGTCTGTACTTCATCAGCTTGTCCCACAGGATGCTGTGGGATACAGAGTGGAATGACTTGCTAAAGTAAAGATAAACAGCATTCGCTGCTCTCCTCTCATCTACCAATGTAGCTATCTTATTCTAGACAGCTATCAGGTCGGGCTTGATATTCCCTTCGCAAAACCATGCTGACTACTTCTCATCATCATTTTGTGCTTACTATATTAGGAAATTGCTTCCAGAAGGATTTACTCCATCACCTTTGCAGGGACTGAGGTGAGGCTGACCTCCCTTTAAGTCTCCTGGATCCTCTTTCTGCCCTTCTTGAGGACAGGGGTGACATTTGCTTTCTTCTAGTCCTCAGGAGCCTTCCTTACTTGCCATGACCTTTCAAATAAATTGATTTATTTATCAATTAAATAATGCATCCAAGATGCATCCTCACAGTGACATCAGCCAGTACTCATGGATGCATCCTATCAGGTCCCATGAACATGTCCACTGGACTATCCCCAACCTGTGCTCCCTAACCTACCTACTGAAGGCAAGCCCTCCTTGATCCTGACACTCCCACTCATCTTGGGGGCTTAAGATTCCTGAAAGCAAATCTCACCAGTAAAGCCCAAGGCAAGGGCAGCATTCACTACCCATTACTCTTCTGTATCTCTGTCACTAGGTCCCCTGCCATATTTTAAGGCAGGCCTACATCTTCCCTCACCTTCCTTTTGCAGCCGATATACTCACAGTAGTGTATCCTGTTGCCTTCCATGCCCTTTGCCAGATTCAACTCCAGATGGGCTTTAGCTTTCCTAATCATGTCCTGTATGCTTGGACATTGTTTCTACATTCCCTGTGGGGCACATGGTCTGCTTCCACCTCTTGTATGCTTCCTTTTTATGCTTCCCCAGCATATTTTCATCTCCCCATGTTTTGATCCACAAGTAATTTCTCTAGGTTCAGTTAGGAAATGAAGCTATATTTGTTCTGTATTTGTATTTACATTTTGAGCAGTGACTCAAGACTACTGCCCCTACTGTAAGCACATTGTTTTGCAAATCCCAAGTCTGAATTTCAGGAGGACAACCATATGAAAGGAAACTTAAGGCTTGTAATTTTTGATCCTAGATCTGAAGTTCAACAGTATACACAGTCCCATTGTCTCAACAGTTTAGGAACTACCTGCATCACTTGCCAGAGTAGAAAATATTTTAGGACCCCTAAAGATGCGCTGAAATTACCAAAGTAGAAGAAAGCTTTTGACAATGTAGGACAAATTCCCAGTTCTGTCATCATGGGACTTAAATGTCATCCTCATTAATTATCAGTTACAAAAAGTTATCAGATAACATAGTTTCATTTTCCCCTAAGTTCCTGAGCAAGATACCAGGGCAAATTGCTGCCCTGTAAGTATTAGTATTCCCTTACAACTTTTAACACAATGAACTAGATTCATTATTTTCCAACAAAGTATGCTGAGGTAGTAATTACAGAACTATCACCAACTCTTCTACAGCTAAGAATTTAAACCCTTATTGAAAAAATCAACTCCCAGTACACAGAAAGAGAAGCAGATTAGGGAGTAATGTTTTATTTTGTAGTTTTCTCTTACTCTTTGAAGCCAGTAACCTTATGAGACAATAGTGACACCTTCAAATTCAATAACTTTGCTTCTGCTGGTAGTAGGGCAGATATATTACAAAGTACTAACTATAAAATTAACTGAATTTCAAATTAAAAATACAAACTTACAATCTATAGTTGGGAAAGTGGATGTGGGGAGTGATCAATACATACTTGTCCACTTGTCCTGCATTGTGATTGTTCTCTGCTCTCATCCGCGTCAATGCAGCAGCAGCTTCATCCAGTGCACAGCTGACAGAGGATGTCAGTCTCCGGAGAACCTCGGGATCTGCGAAGGCTTTACCATCGGCAGTGGACAATTTACCAATTCCTTCAGTGTGCGTTCGTTCATCAGTCAGGTTAGTATGAAAGTCACACAAAAGAAATCCGAAGACACTGTTTTAGATTTCAGCCACATGCACTATTAGTTAAAAATCACTTGCAAACATGCCAGAAAATCAGCTATTTAAAAAGTAACTGTTAAAATTTGCCCAAGACCTGAACATTTAATTACCATATTACAGCAGTAAAAAAAACTGTTTTTCAACTGGTAGATTCATTACCTGTCCCAAATTCTCAACTCACATCTCTGAAGAATAAAAACAGAAACCAAACAACAACAAAACACCCCTCAGGAAAATAAGGATAAGTCCAGAGGTCAAGCCCAAAAACAGAAGGCTGGCAAACAGGTATTACTCCACAGGCTTGGTTTAATATTTTCTGAATGTGAAGAATTTTACTATTTAAAATATAAAGTTAATACCTGCTTCCCACCCAACTCCACCCAAAATGAAGTAGACTTAGCTCTAATATACCTTTTCTTTTTTAAGAGCAGGAAAAAAAAAAAAATGTTATTAGCTTAAATTCCCGATAACTTAATATTCCAAACTACACAGCTCTAGCTAGAGGCACAAAAATTATGAAACAAAAGTTCAAATATTTTAAATATACTTGAATCAATGCCCCCTCTACACTAACATTATACAGATTCACTTAGACTCAAGGAACTTTTGTAACAGTCTCTTTTTTTAAGTTTCTTTGCTGCAAGAGTAAAGCTTAAAGCTAATACAGAACACCACCGAAAGAAAGTATTTATCCCACACATTTATATGGCTGATATAAAATCACGGTACAGATGTGTAGTTTTACTCCATGTAGTTCAGCCCAGCCTATTCTACATACGCAAACACCACTGCACAGTTGCCTCTGCAGTGTAGGCAGGGTTTGTATTTGTATATACAAATGCAAATAGTGTAAAAAAAAATGCACTGCTGAATAGCACACACACACCCCCAACACCCCCAGTCAAATTTCACATGCTACAAAATGTAAATGTTTACTGGTTTATCAATTAGCTACCTTCACCAGTAATGAATCAGAAACTTCTCAATTCCTTAGCTGTTAAACAGGGTCAAATTAGATACAAACCTCTGAAAACAGCCCATGTTACACTTCAGAAGATTTGCTATTTGGTACATGCATATCTCTAAGATTAATTTACACCATGTGTCCCACAATCCAGCTTGTAATTATTACCAAAATAATACTCTGACAGTTTCGAATATTGTCTTCAGAAAATATATTTCCCCAGTTTGAGGGCATCCGATTTGTTTCTCATTAATGTAAGAATCAATACTTACCAAATTTCTCCACCCTGAAAACAATTTAGGCCAGCATATGCTGGACATACTCTGTTACATTACATCACTGCTTCAGTGCTGGTAGTGTTGGCTTATGGTATTCAAACTCTGTGCTGCTGGAAATGATGAAGAGTCCCTATCCTATCATCAAGGCAGACACCAATGATGGGGTGCATGTTTACTTCGCCAACTGAAACTGAGTACAGGCTATGAAGGTTGAGATGAGCTACTTCAGATACTTGGTGAGATCCAAGTGCAATACCTCCCTGGCTCCAACATCCTACCTCTGGATCACTCTGGCATTATCAAGAGGCTACAAAAAAAAAAAAATTTATAATAATTACCCGCTCTGTGATAAAATGAGAAATTACAACTACATCTGTCCACAGCACACTCATCTGGTTTTCAAAGACTGTGTAGTGCACCACAGAGCAATCAGAAAAGAGAAACACACGGCCACAGACTCTTGACTCCACGTAAATCAAGAGGCTAATGGCCACATACCCCCTTCCACCTCCAAACTGTTGAGGCCATAACCCTCCTAGGCACAGCTCTTAAATATAGTGAGGCTATAAACAACAAGCCTCAAACACCACAGCTCACACCTCACATATTAATGTAAACTGAATATGTTCATTTAAAAGGGGACATAAGTTCTGTCAGCTCTGCAGCTGTGGCAGGTGGAACAGCAAGAGATAGATATTGAGAAACTCTGCTGGGGCATCAATTTAGTACCAAACACACAGAGAAAATGGTAGTTTTTACATAGATCTACTTCCCCAGGACAGAGTAACTACAAAGGTGTTTATACTAGCTATTTCTGGTGGCAGTGCTGGCTTACACGAGCTTGCAGTGTACACAGTAGTAGTGCCTAATGAAAAAGAGAATTAAATCTCCACAACTCAGCACTGAGGCCTCATCTAGGACTGCAGCAAAGCTGAACACCACAGTAAGTAAAGTAGAAAAGTACTTGAGAGAAAGCCACAGGATTTAGAAAAATGACCTCTGAGCAAAGGCTAAAAAAACCACATTGACTTAGTTTACGAGGAGCAGCACAACAGCAGTTTCCCTCCCCTTATAAGAGTCTCACGAAGGAGCTGGTAAACAGCTCTACTGCTTGCAAAGGAAGTAGGGAATAAAAAGTCCAGTCAAAAAACCCAACAAAAACAAAACAGAAAGCCCGAAACAAATCAAACAAAAGAAATGTCAAAATTACCTGGTTATCTGAAACTAAATTGGATACCTCAATCATTTCACATCACTAAGGGTGACTTCAAACCCCTAACAGACAGGGTACCTAGACAAACAGAACCTATATGTGATAATTCTTTCCATTTTTGAAGTCTGCTTGTTGAAGCGTTCATACACAGGATTTCTGAAGGCAAGAGAAGTCACACCACAGATCTAAGTCCTGTGCCCTACCTGCTCCACAGTATCTGTTTTCATGGTCTCCTGGAGGACTTACCAACCATAGGTCACTGGCTCTTCCAGCTACTAAAAGCATGCTTACAGCCCACTACAGCTTCCTACTTTGTTTCAAAGAAGGTGCTGTATAGCCACACCAAGGACTTCTGGAAAGTAAGACGAAAATGCTTTTTACTTACATCACCAGATAGGGCTCAACCCAGGTGCTCTCCCCAGCTGTTCATTTCATACTCGTTTTATACTGCACACGTCAAAACTCATCAACAGTCACAGAAGACATCAGAGCAGACGTGTTAGGCTGGATGGTGTAAAAGGTAGACAGACTACAAGAATTACCACTGCAGATATCCAGTCATTTATTTCCCTTTTGCAGGTTTACAGTACCTAAATAACTGCTCAGTTTTCACTTTGCTATGATTTAGGATGACTGTGCCAGAATCTTACGGCTATAATGCTCATTTATTTTTTAAGCTTTAACTGAATTGGGTTTGTGTCCACTTCATAACCATTTGCTTGTGTCCCATGCCCCATTCCTGGAAATGTTCAAGGACAGGCTGGATAGAGCTTTGAGCAACCTGGTCTAGTGGAAGATGTCCCTGCTCATGGTAGGAGGGTTGGACTGCACCTAAAAGTCACTTCTAACCCCAAAACCATTCTATGATTCTACAGTCTCCCCTGACTGGAAATAGATGACCTAGCTTCTCCCCATCCAACACATCAACACACAGACTGTAGATCTCTAAATCAGAGAGAAAAGTATGAATTCAAAAATCTGCAAGCAGATTAGTCCTTCTACTGGACCACAAACCACCAATTCGACAGTACACAGGTTCAGGCTGCATCTGAAAAGGGTATTTCCACCAGTTTAAACAAATCAACAATTCAACAGTTTAACAGAGATAAAATCTCCAGTACGGCTGACTACCATATAACTAGAGTCTGGAGCAGATTACTTTTTTTCCTAAAGCTACTATCGCACACAGCATGACTCAACTTAGTGGCAGATAATGCCAGACATTCCAGAAGTTAGTGCCATACTGCTGAACTATTTCAATTAGCCTGAGGTTGATCATAGAGGTGTATTAGAACAAGAAGCTCACCTTTCAAGGGAAAAGCTTGCTCATCAGATACCTAAAACCAACACTGAAGTATGGGCTGCTCTGTTGACTTTCAGAAACATTAGGATATTCCTACCATGTAACTACCACAAACAGATTTTTAGGGTAACCTGAAATGAGCTGGTAATCTCAGGGTTGTATCTTCCTCAGTTTAATGAATCAAAGATACAGATATCACCTCAAAAACTGGTGTCTTTGGAAGATCCAAAAGGAAAGGCCCTCATACCACTGGTGTGATTTTGCCATGAGTAATCAGAGATAACATTCTCTGAAAGTCATGTCTGTATGTTTTCACAATTTGAACACAGAAGCTGAAAGCCATGAATAAATCTTAAAGAACCAACACAAATAGCCTTGGCCAAAGTTGTTTCAAGTTCACTACAGTAAGGGAACGTCAGATACCCACACTCGAACAGTCACTTCCCTCCCTTCTATTTCAAGAGGAGGAACATTCTCACAGGAACATAAGTTGCTCTATTCTTCCTCACTGGATAAAGTTCCTATCAAGGAAGAAAATACTTAAGTGTAGTTTCTAGCTAGTAGCTCATAATTATCACCATTTAAAATACCTTGAAAAGACGTTAGTACGGAGCCCACAGCTAAGTCACTCATACCACACACAACTGGTGTCAACACATCCTTTGAACACCAAAAGAGATTGTTCCAAAGAGATCAACACATCTAAGTACAAGAGATAATGTCCAATACACCTAACAAAAAACTCCAGCACACAGTATGTTCTAAAACACACTTGAGGCCATTCAGCTAGTGTCCAATTTATGACCTCACCTTCACCACAACTCAATTTCAGCTCACATGGATCATCTACTGGTCCCAGAAGTTTAAAGGGATCTTCTCTTTCTTTAAGGTCTTACATTACTTGGCCCCCAAAGGCAGGCTTTGATAGAAATGTGCAGAGCTTTAAAAGCCAAAATGAATGAAATGAGAATTATGGCCCAGAAATGTGTCTTTTTTTTTTAATGGTACATCAAGAACCTGCTTTAATCAGCATGGCATACAAGTAGCACCTCAAGGTGAAGGGGTTTCAGGGAAGGAAGGAGGGGACTTGGTTTTAGATTCTTTATTGGAATCCGCATTCGGAGGAACTGAGAAGTTCTAGACTGTCAAAAGCAACTGCTACAGTCTTG